GTGGAGCATCTGAATGATTTCAACGTTTTGTACACCACGTCGTAGGTTACTACACATTCACTGAGGACATTCAAACATTTGCGAGCTAAGGAACTTACATTGGAAATGCTTCCTCTGTCAGTGGAGAATACAGATGAAAAGGACTGGGCGAGCGCTTCAGCTTTTTGACCATCAGGAAGCGATTGCCGTTTTCATCAAAAAGTACCGGTACGCTTGAATGGGACCTAATCCTATGCTTTATCAACGCAAAGATAGCATTTCTTCTGTGCCCAGTGCTGGAAACGCCTTTCCTTATTTGCTAAAAACTTTCTCAGAATGATAATCAAGCTCACGGCACACTTTTTCGTACTGGAGATTGCCAATGGGTCGTCATGCACCTTGCTGTGAAGTCGTGCTTTCTGACTAGGGATGGTCGCCAGGTCGAAGTGGCCATTTGTAAAGAGACATATATCACGGGACGTGTTTTTGAACGCTGATTTCAAATCTGCCTTTGAAATTTGCAGAACGATTCTCTGAAAGGAATTGTGGAGATTTATTAGAATCAAGATGGAGGGACACCGAGTCGAGCGCGGTTGCCAGCCAATCCGCATGTGTTGCCACAAAGCCTCTACACACCTAATGGAGGCATGGTGTAACGGTAACGATCTTGCTTCGTGGGGGTGCCATGGAGGGTTCGAATTTTTCGGAGGATTTTTTTGCATTTTGTGAGGAATGTCGCTTCTAGGTCTAGAAAACACTCAAACGCCAATGGGTGTCCATATTCGTGTTCAGGGAGCAAAACTACCCTTGGGACAGGTTTCTAGCCAGATGTGAGGTTTTGACCTAACTTTGAAAAGTGCGGTAGCAGTTGATCGAATGATGGTCACAATAGTTCCAGGGCCAGTCTCTTGTCGATTGCTTGTCTTTGGACGGAATTTGCTTTTAGATACCAGGAAAACTGGAGCAGTAACAACATGAATGCGTAAGAAGTGGCAAGACAAGGCTTTGTGCAGGGGAATGTATTAGGTTGGTTGTCCGGAAAGTTCTCAGCGTTTTGGGTGTTTCACTTTAAACGATCGTAACTTTTTTAATACTCATCGGATTTAATCGAAATAGGCACCATTCGAATCAGCACACTTTTGCCAATGTGACAGCAGTCGAGAAATCCCATCAAAGTAAAACTGGGTGGTCGAAAATTCACGAAATCCACTAAGGCTTTTTTGCCTGGTCCTGATTGATGAAGTATTTTCCAGCAAGGGAGTTCTGAAAATGTTAGAAAAGGTGATAGTCGATTGGCGAAAGGTCTGAAGAATATGGCGGTTGAGGTAGAACTTCAACCCCCAATTCGTTCAATTTATGGATAGTGATTTGTGAAACGTGTGGGCGGGCGTTGTCATGCAAAGAATCGGACCCTTTCTGTTGACAAGTGCTGGCTGCAGCTGACGCAATTTTCGGTACATTTCGTCGATTTCTTCACAGTAGGACTCTGCTGTGATGGTTTGGCCTGGTGACAAAAAGTTATAGTGGATCACACCAGCCGATGACTACCACACTGTGACCATAACCTTTTTTCGTGAGGATTCGGCTTTGGAAATTGCCTCGGTGGTTCGTCGGCATCCAACCACTGTCCGGAACGTCTCCTGTTATCATACATGATCCACTTTTCATCACAGGTGACAATTCGGTCCAAAAGGGTCGTTTCTGCTGCGCAAAAGCAATGCAGAAGGAACCTCGAGACGTGCCGATTCCTGCCGGTCACTCCGATTGTGGGGCACCCAATTGTCGAGTTTTTTCACCTTCCCAATGCGTTCCAGACCATCTGCAACAGTGGATTTGCCAAGGCCTAGCTCTTCTGCTATCTCTCGAACTGTTTGGGATGGGTCAGCCTCAAAATCCCCCTAAAATCCTCGTCAGATATTGCTTTAGGTCGACCGCTATGAGGTTCATCTTCAAGGCTGAAATCTCCAGAACGAAATTTGTTGAGCCATTGCCGCACAGTGCTTTCTCTAGCACTATTGGGCCCCCACACCTGGTTAATTTGTTGAGCTGTTTCGATTGCGGATTGCCCAATTTATAGTCGAAGAAAAAAATCGTCCGAAGTGCTCTTTTCACATGCTTGAAAAAATCTTGAAAAAAGGGGTTTATCAAGCAATGGTGAAACGGCAATTATACCATCAGATAGCGCAAGAAATTCTCTACAGGATGTGCTACTGAGAAGCAAGGCAGAATGAGTTTTTAATCAGCAGTGAATGTACAAAAAATAGGTGCACAAAACGCTGAGAACTTTCCGGACAACCTAATATCTGCAGTTGAATAGGTGTGAACATCAACTGAACTAACCCATGGATGCTTCACTTTTCGAAGTCAGGTCAAAATGCCAGATTTGGCTAGAAACCTCTACCTAGGCGTAGTTCGCCCCGATAAACACGAATATGGCACTCGCTCAGCGCGAAAACGCCACTGTGCGCCAAGGGCACCTGTACATCCAAAAATTCTCCTAGATTACAACGTACCAAGCGCGCCAATAAGTCATGAACTCTTGCGTGGTAGATGTGGGGGAAAAGCTCTATAACTCTTTTCAGAGAATCGTTCTGCAAATTTCGAAGGCAGATTCGAGATCAGCGTCTAAAACCCCGTCCGTGAGCTAACCTCATTACAAATGTCCACTTCGACCAGGCGACCTTCCCTAGGGAGCTAGTAAGTTCTTGATATGTTTGGAATAATTAGTTTGTGGCACATTCTTGAAATCGAAGGGCACATACTTAGCCAATCCTTCGTAGACAGTGCGGCAAAATCTTTTGTACATGTCATCACAGGAGGCGTACCCATCAAAAATGCTCCACCAATTTATGGAGGAGAAGTACTTTGATAGCTCAGAATAATCGGCCCTGGCGAAGTTGGGCAATGGAAGTTTATATGGCGTAGATGAGGGAATCATAATCTCAAAATTATTACACTGTGGTCAGGCGCTGCAAAAGGCGGTAATACCGAAACGTTTTTGACAATGGGAGCATTAATATAATATCTAGAATGGACTCTCCGCGTGCGGGTGTGGTTACATATTGAACAAGACACAACATCTGAAGAATTCAAGAAACTTGAAGGAAGTAGAGGTTTTGGCCATACTCACTACCCAGTCAACATCAATGTTGAAGTCACCTAGAACAATCAAATGCTTGTTCTAGAATACAATGATCAAGCAAAGTATCAATAAGGTCGTTGTCATCATCTGAGGAAGAATTTGGAGGTCGGTAAACAATCATCACTATGAACAACACATTAGAAAGTTCATTTAAACCATCGAGGCAAAGAATTTCCGAATCGAGGCAGGCTGGGGTTGCAACGGGCTTCAAGAAGAAAGAGTTCTTGGCTATGCAACAGACACCCCCCCCTCCGTTTTTCACGATCCAAACGGAAAATATTGTAAGCGCGATTCCCAAGAGGTTCAGAACTTGATGTTTTTGAAGAAAGCCATGTTTCGGTAATGCAAATAAAGTCTGGGTCATACGTATTCAAGAAGAAATGCATGTGGTGTAATTTGTTCCTTAAACTTCTCATTAAAAAGAAAACATCGAACACCTCGCAGTGAACCGTGGCGGCTCAGGCGTTTCCCGGGCCCCGTGTTTCGGGGAGCTCGTCAACCCTCGCTCAGTTTTCACGGCACAGACCGCCACCCATAATACGGCCATTTCCTGCTCTGCTGCGGGCTCTGCACTCCTGCCTCAATTCGTACTTCCGCTTGCGTTCCGCGGAAGTTAAACTTTTGCGTATAAAGATGTTAGGTAGTCTCGCAGCTTGCAGATGGTAACCATTCATTAGGGCAGTGACCCAATGGCCCTTTGATGGAAGTACGAGTTCAACCAGCAGTGGATGTGTACCACCAGGTTTCCCCATGCGGTACACTTTCACAGGACGACGCTCAACTCCTACACAATCTAAGATTCCGCGACTTTCCTCTCGAAGCTTCTTCCCTGTTTTGATTGACGGCGCTGTATCGGAAGCAAACTCCTCCATGCCATATACCACCATAGACCACCAAACTGCTCCCTCTTTTCCCGGCCTCAACTGCATCAAGCTTATAGCTTTCTTGGGTAGTTTCAAAACTAACGCGCCTGATGTGGCTGGTCCTTCATCACCTCGTTCCGTTCCAACATAAGCGCTAACGACATCCGAGATAGACATCTTTGAAAAATATCACTCTCTGATGAACAACCAGCCGAACCACTAGAAGAAACTCCTTTTGCAACGGCAGAATGGCGAGATAGAACCTGACTAGTGGATGACCGGAAACTTTCATGCAAAACCACAGTGAATTAACTGCGACGGAATATATACCGCTGGAGTCGTGATAAATGGAATATGATAAGAATACCACGTCGTAAAGTAAGCAAGCGGATTGGAGCACGTAGGTAGCAACATTCTAGGAGAAAGCCCTGACGGCCAACAAGAACCGACCGCTACGATATACGACCGTAGGAGGAAGTGATATCCGCTTTCAGGCACCCCCGTGCCAGTGTGCGATATTCTGGTGGAGAGGTTCAAACAACTCCAAGAACATTTCTTGCAATTTAACATATTAGTTGCCGCTGGCTGAATTTACTGTTGAGGGCGGTAGTGAAAACCCGTGTTATGTGGGGGAGGGAGGTAGAACCTGTGTTTGGGGGAAGGGGTTAGACTACCTCTGAAGGCTGATTTCCAGCCAAATCCGCCTCAGAAAAATAACTGGTGGAAACTCTCAAAATTCCTAGACTGCGGCAGTGAGTGGTGGAACAGATGTTACTGTTTTGGCAAGCAAAAATCCATATCTGGGATCAATGGTGTCCGAACTGGACGGTTACTCATAACCATCTTATGTATCCACCTATTAGAACACCTCATAGGGTCATCGGTATGGAAAAGCGTCTGTAAATGCCCACGGACGTTACCAATGTTTATAACGGCTCGTCTGTTTCAGCTATTGCTCCTTACCTGCCTTTGTTACAAATCCAACATGTGCGGCGTCAATATCTCCCACTTCAAATATGGGAGCGGCCGGTAGACCCTTCTACGTGGGCAGATCTCGCAAGAATGACGCAGGTTTGTTTATTTATTTAGTCATTCATTTACTTGTTTACCCATTTATTTATTTATTTATTTACAATTCATCCGTAGGAAGTGCTACAAATATTTATGAAACAACGGTCCGTTGAGAGCACTGGTATAAGCAAAAAAAGCAAGAGATGAAGGGAAGAACCTAATGTCATCGATAGAAAAGATAAGGAAAGAGAGAGGGAGAGGCGTTTCCTTGAAACTCGACAGATGGTATGCCGGTCAAGCACTTCTGAATCCCTTTTATGTTGTCGTTTTGGACAATGGACCACATCCACAAAATTACAAGAGAACTAGTTCCAGAATCAAAAGTGTTGAAGCCTAGTAATTATTTGTGGCACTCGCGGTCTGCGTGCCAGCCGTGGATCATGATGTCCAGTCGACATATACAGTGTCATAGGTAATTACGAGACTCCGAAACACAGGTACACAGGTCCTCCTTTATTTTCTCAACGCCCTTTATTTTGCCGACGTTGATGTCGTTCTCTTCGATACTGTGACCTTTCAATTATTCCTCTTGTATTTGTCCCCAGTTCCACTTCGCTCTCGCTATCACCCACGCGCCTCGCTCTTTTGTGTACTGACCAGTCAGATCGCCTGGCGAGCCGGGCGATCCTCCTTCCGCGTGTGAAGTGGGTACCGCGCCAGAGTTTCACCTTAACAAATGGTTGAGGGGTAGTCGGATCGCCCGGCTCCGCAATTTGTTAAAAAAATTTTCGAAAATTATCAAACTTTACCGTTTCTTCCCTAGTATATACCACCCCCACCTAGAATGGGGCCCTCCAAGTTTTATATATAACATTCTCTACATTGGTGAGAATTCCCTGTGAAGGAAGCTCTGAGTTTGTAGCAGCTCTTTGGTTGTGGAAGAGATTCAGATAGATGAATTGTTTGGAGCGAATGTTACCCAATGGGCGCACCGCCCCCCACCGCGGGTGCGAAATTTCGGTAAGGACAAATTCGCTTAAGGCTTTGAAAATCTGTTGGAGAGGACGGTATACATGTGCATTAGTTAGTGGTTGTATGTTATTGGGACGATCTTTATAACAGTGAGAATTTCCACTGTGGAATCAACTCACTGTGAGGATGCCTCGCTCGTTTGAACAGCGAATCCGCCCAAAACCAAAATTTGAGGAATGGCAACCAATTGCTAAGGGACACGCTCCGCCTGCTGTAGATGGGCCCTGGCAGACATCTAGTACATCCAGCGTACACAGGATCTTCTTCACGGAAGTTTGCCCTTTCTCTAGAGCGCTTCCAAGTGTTTCGGAACCATGATGAATTTCCTGGAGCGAGCGCTGCCCCTGTCGCTGTACACCTTCCCCTCCGCGTGTGACTCTGCCTTAAATGGAGGACCCTTTCCTCACCTTCGTCTCTTTTCCAATCCTTTACTCACCTCTAGGCCTTTGACGGATTCTTGTGCTCGGCCTCGGCGGACCGCCCACTACTTTCCTTATTGGTCCGACAAACACACAGACAACTTCTCCTTTATATATAGAGTATATCCGTAGGCGGTGTACCTCACTGTAGAATTTTTCATCTTTTGTTACGAAGTGCTCAAACACAAATGTAACACTCATTTCAAATCCGTTTGTTCAGCATGCGAAGTTGAGGACGCTTACGTTCAATTGAAGCTCGAGCCAGTGCACTCGTCAAACGCGGATGATAACGTGGTTTTGCCACAGTCGGTAGACATTATTTTCTTCTATTATCGCATCATCGTCTGACTAGTTTATTTCATGCAACCATTTATATGCATAGAACACGCTGTCACTTATTTAAAGAAAGGGGATTCATTCACGAGGAGGCAAATTTGGAATTGAAACAAAATGGAGGCAAAGCGTTGAAAGGTAACACGGATAAGGTCACGTAGATAGCGAAGACTTCATATGCTTGAGAGGATATTTGAGTGTTTGAGAGAGGTTACGAGACGAGAACCATTCCGAAGACAGAGACCGCAACTATATGCCGTGCTGAAACTTATAAAAAGCAAGAAATAGCGTGGGAGTAGACAACTAGTTGGTAATTTGGCGCGGTACTCAGTCTTGAGGATGTGATATCCTTGCGTGCAAAGTGCATGATAAGTGCTCAAAATCCTTGCCCTATTGAGCCCTTTCCCCTTACTTATCCCTATCCACTTGGATCTTTTCATTTTATCATCGCTATATAGCCGTGAGATCTCAATAATTTCCGTATTTTCTCGCGACTTCTTTTTTTTCTGATTGGCTGGAGAGTGAACGAGTACGTTGCTGCCTGTTGCAACACAGAACATCGGCGATAAGGACCCACTAGAGCCACGACTGTTCGCGGAATTTGTTCATTGCATGAACAAAGTTATCTCCCCATATCCGTGACATACTTGAGCACTGACACTGCGCTGCCGACGATCGAAAAGGTTCTGTTGAAAGCATGCAGTGGCAAGAATAGATCATGGTGGCACAAGGATAAGAAGGAACTTGAATACAGTGTATTTCGCGGAACTGTGTCACAAGTGAAATAAAACTCCTCAGATACTTTGAGGGCGTTTCGCAACAACATTCGAAGTAATTTGAAGTTATTTCTTGTTTACGATAATCGTCCGGCTAACAAGCAAGCCAGATTACATGTTTTCTGGCGCTACTGTGTAGCCTACGGACAGCTCTGTTTCAAATGTTGGTTACTAGTCTGAAAATGCTCATTTCTGAGTTCAGATGCAAACAAATGCTTCACACACCTCAGGTCTTCCTGACGATCTTTTTTTCAGAACCTGATGATGTTTTCTTACACGCCAAAGAACCACGTCTCCTATACTATAAAGGAGTTTTCTGCAACGCGTTTCGGCAGCCATCGCCAGCGTCCAGACCATGACGTTATGAAACGTATTCAGCGCCAAGCGGCCAGTCGTGGTATGTTTGTCCTTTTATACCGGAGAACATATTTATGATGCTAGCTGCTGTTTCTGAATGGAGCTTTCGATATGAGTGGTAATGACTTTCGACAATTAATCCATATGTGCAATGTGTTCTTGGATTATTCTTCGATACGCTGATGACTGTTGTGGATTCCTCTTTGAGTATACTTAGTCCGCATATTGCGAGACGATTGAATCGATTATCAGGTACTAAGTTGCGACCAGAGTTGAAAGCGACTGGCGAGTGACCAATCAGTCTGCGTGAACTATGTGTGAATCAATAACTAGTATCCTCTTCTTCAGCAGCTGCGATTGCGCTAATATCGTGTGAAAATAGCACCAGAATCAAATCAGTGTGTCACTCGTCAGCGGCAATACGAAAATAGTATATTTATCCTTTTCAGAATTCTTCAATATCTTTGCTCTAAGAGCGAGCTCATCCACACAATCTGTTCTCTCTTTTCAAGCTTTAGGTAGCACGGCTGCTCGCTCACACGCTTTGGAAGCTGGTGATGGACCTGAGGTGAAGGCCACCCCCCTCAGTTCAAGGCCATTGTTCACAAGACCATCACCGTTCAAACCGGGAGACACAACAGTTTGCATCTCATCATTGGTTTACTAGTATGCAAAATGTCCTCTGATGTGCTTATGTGCTGGGAAATCGTGTACCAGTTACTTGAAATCACATCACTATACAATAAGCACAGGAGGACATTTCATGTTCATGTTCACCCAGCGTTGTGCTCGTAACGACTGGACAAGGAGGCTCGCAACAGCGGCATGATTGGCAATATTCGTGGAAGAAAAGGCAGTCTGGGTGAAAATAATTCCCAAGCACCCTTGCTCAGTCATTGCAAGCTCGACGATCGTGTTATTGCCGACCCTCTAGACAATACGAATCATCAAAGTTTTCAGATGACCGACATCGAGACTCTGAAGACTTTAACAGCAGAACAGCGTGAAGCACTGGTTAACATTATTCGCAATAGCTCCGTGTGTAAGCGAATCAATTTTGCTTCGAGTTCCGCACTTCTACGCTAACTTCATTCGATTCAGTAGACCACCCGCTCAACCACCTTCAACAGGCTCTAAGTGCTCCACAAGTGGTACATTCGCAGAATAACGGACTGCTACGGAGTAACCTTAGTGAGTGCTCAGACTCGCGCAACTTTAGAAACAACTCTAACTGTGAGATCCCCGCGATCGTCGGCAGACATAACACACGAGAGGCTAGCAGGAGAGTTGTAAGGCGCCGCACACGTCGCGCGCAGTGCGCCATGCGTCGTGGGACGCGGTCACTTCTGGATGGACAGTTGGACTGTCGACTGGACCGTTGCACTTACTACATATTATAATATTGCGTGTGATCCACAGTACGCAAGTCACCAACAAACAACTGCCTAGTATTAATCAAATGATCGTAAATTTCCCCCACAGTGAAAGCTGCCAGTAGAGATGGTCCCCAGCGGGAAGGAATGAGGCAATTTTTGATTTCCCATCGAGCATTTTGGAGTTCCTGAGACTGACTCATTTGTTATCGTTATGTAATCGTTGGTTCCGAGTTACGGAAAAAAACCATTACTGAGTGAGTTCATTCTGCCCCTTTCTTGGAGTGGTTTCAACGAAGTAAAAACTTGCAACTATTTTCTGCATGCCTGCACGTGTAGCCCAGTACTGAGCAAAACTGCTCAAAGGTGAACTCTTGACATAACATGTTGAATCCGGAGGCAGTTGGAAAAGTAGGCAGTAGAATATTTATTAGTCGAACGAATCAACAAAAACAGTGGGGTTTGAAGCTAGGATGAACAAAATGTGAACCTTTTCCCGTCAGAAAGTAGAACCCCCCTCAACTATGCGGGATTAAGACCAATTTTCGTTTCAGTTAGATGTAACCTTTCCGTAATTTTTTTCCAATGCAACAGTATAACCATCTCAACGACAACCAAAGCACCGAAAGTCTTTAGAACTAGAAGTTCAGATGCGGTGCGAACGACGAGTAAATGAAGTAAGGTTTGAGTATTTTTGAAGGCAGAGGGCGTGTTCACCTTAACCGGTGAGGCCAACACGCTCAACAACAAGGTTGACCGTGACTTCGAGGAACCCTTGCATACATAGCCTCCAGCGAAGAGCGAGCTTGCAGCGTACCAGGAAGTTTAAGCATACTGATCTGGACTCCCTCCAACAGCGACACGCCCACAAAAGTCATTTTCTCCACTTTTCAAGGTTCCTCTCAAAGAGTCATGGCTCTCATTGGTAACGAAAACATCTTGCTTCGGCAGAATGCAATGATTCCTTGCAGTCGCCGTGAATTTTTTCACCTTGTTCTTGGACCAGTGATAATTAATCTTAGCCCGAGACTCGCACAGTTCTCAGAAGGAGCGACTAATGAGCGTCCTGCTTCAGGCGTTTCCGGCCGCTTTGTCTCATTTTCGCTTTACTGACGCGCTGTTGAGTGCCTCTGCTCCCGTTTCCTGAGAACCGAATAATCGTGCCCACTGCCTCTAAGACGCTGACGAAACAGCAAAACCAAAGGAACAGTTGAAACGCAGTGAAAACTCTCGATTCATGCCGTTTACTTTTATGAATAAGGAATAAGACTGGTTTGAGGAAAATAGTGTTCCAGTAACCGTTAACAGCTGTTTGGGCGACTATTTGTCTTATTGAACCTTTGAAAAATAGCTAGATTGAATGAAATTTTTCCAGTTTTTCCCTTTCCAATTATTCTTTAACTTTCCATTTAGTGACGTGATAGATCCTATGAGACTGCCTTTCTAAGGTGAATCGCGTCGAGTAAGGTGGGAGTCCACAGCCGCATCCGTATTACATTTTCCTCTACGTTCCACCCAGAACTTCTGTATGTCGGCTGCACCCTACCGAATGATTGTTCCTGTCTGTAAATTGCCACTTATTAAATCTTGTAGGCGTTAGAATATTTGCAGTTGGATACTGAGTCTACAAAAAGACCATGCGTTGCACATTGAAGCTGATTTTGTCTCAATCTGCAGATATGAGGATGTTATGAATACTCACTGTTTCAGATCCAGTTTCGAATCCGATTATGCCCTCAAACTTGGCTGACCTCACATTTTCGCACTATGGGACGGTAAAAGCCTTTTCTGGAGTTGCTTGCGGAATCTACAACTAATTGAGATTCCTGAAATTGAGATTTTCTTCAGAACCCCATCACAGCTATATCCATGGTTCCACGTCGAAACAATGGAAAACGCCGTTCGGCCAACTCTCACAACTCGTCATGGCTGACATGAACCCTCAGTGGATTTGTTTGGCACGAGTGCACGTCCAATAAGTATAAAATTATGTAAGCAATGCAATCAAATTCAAACCACCCTCTCACCAGAGGTCTGTTAGATGACGGGTAACTCTTTACAGTAGTTGACTGCACTTTCAATGGCACACGCA